TGAAAACTTTATAAAGCTTCAAGGCCACATAATGGGGAATCATGATTACCACATATTTTTATATATTTGAATCATTACTTACATTAGAGAAACTATTCGGTATTCACACATGCAAGATTGATTTATTTCACTTATGAGTATGGTCTCAAGCTGTGCCCATTTATTGATAAATATCTTAATGTGATCCTTCTTTATAGCTGAATAATACTCCATTGTTTAGAAATACCACAACTTTTTTATCCATTTCTCAGTTGATGGACAGTTGGGTTGTTTCCAAGATCTGGCGATTACAAATTGTGCTGCTATAAACATAGGTGCACATATATCACTGTGGTATGATGCTTTCAGTTCTTCTGGGAATATGCCTAGAAGTGGAATAGCTGGAATAAATGGGATTTCCAATCCCAACATTTTGAGAAATCTCCAGACAGACCTCCACAAAGGCTATACCAGTCTACACTCCCACCAACAGTGCAGGAGAGTTCCTTTTTCCCCACAGCCTCTCAAGCATTTGTTGTTGGTTTTCTTGATCCTGGCCATTCTTTCAGGAGTGAGATAGTATCTCAGTGTGGTTTTAATTTGCATTTCTCTAATGACCAATGATGATGAGCATTTTTTTATGTATTTGCCATTTGCATTTCTTCATCTGAGAATTGCGTATCCATCTCAGATGCCCATTTTTGGATTGGATCTTTGAATTTTAGGGGTCTGAGTTTTTTTAATTCTTTATATGTTTTAGACAAGAGTTCCTTGTCTGAGAGAGAGTTCACTAAAATCTTTTCCCAGTTTGTGGGTTTTCTTTTCACCATGCTGGAGATTTCTTTTGACATGCAGAAACTTTTTAATAAGAAGTGGTCCCAGTTATTGATTCTGGGAAGTATTTCCTGTGCGGTTTGAGTCCTGTTCATGAATTCTCTACCTACTCCTATGTCTCCAAGGTTTCTACCTAATTTGTCTTCCAATAGATTTAGTGTTTCTGTTCTAATATTCAGATCTTTGACCCATTTAGATTTTAATTTAGTGCATGGTGATAGACATGGGTCTAGCTTTAGTTTTTGGCAAATGGAGAGCCAGTTTTTCCAGCACCATTTATTAAAGATACTGTCGTTCTTCCAGTGAACCTGCTTGGCTCCTTTATCAAAGATAAGGTGGTTGAGTGTGTTTGTAGTTGTGGTTGTATCTTCTAATCTATTCCATTGATCTTTGGCTCTGTTTTGATTCCAATACCATGTTGATTTTACTACTGTTGCTTTGTAGTATAACTTCAAGTCAGGGATTGTGATGCCTCCTGCTTTGTCTTTGCTGCTTAGAATTGTCTTTGCGATTCTAGGTCTCTTCTGGTTCCAGATGAAATTTAGGAGTGATTTCTCTAGATCTATAAGGTATGTTGATGGTATTTCTATTGGGATTGCATTGAATCTGTATAACAGTTTTGGGAGAATGGCCATCTTCACAATGTTTGTTCTTCCTATCCATGAGCAAGGGATGTCTTTCCATTTTCTGAGATCATCTTCAATTTCCTTTTTCAGTGTATTATAATTTTCACTGTATAAGTCTTTCACTTCTTTCGTAAGAGTAATTCCTAAATATTTCATTTTTTTGCTTGCTAATGTGAATAGTCCAGTTTCTCTTATTTCCCTCTCTGTGATTTTGTTGTTTGTGTATAGGAATGCTATTGATTTCTGAGTATTGATTTTGTATCCAGCCACATTACTGAATTTATTTATTGTATCTAAGAGTCTTTCAATGGAGTTTATGGGGTCTTGTATGTAGCGTATCATGTCATCTGCAAACAATGATAATTTAACTTCTTCTTTTCCTATCTTTACCCCTTTTATTTCTCTCTCTTGCCTAATTGCTGTGGCTAGTACTTCCAGTACTATATTAAATAGGAGTGGTGATAAAGGACATCCTTGTCTTGTACCCAACTTTAAAGTAAAGGCTTTCAATTTTTGGCCATTTAGTATGATGCTGGCTGTTGGTTTGTCATAAATGGCCTGTATTATATTGAGGTAAAGACCATCTATTCCAATATTCTGTAAAGTTTTTATCATGAATAAATGTTGGACCTTATCGAAGGCTTTTTCTGCATCTATAGAAATGATCATGTGATTCTTATTTTTGGCTTTATTGATATGGTGGATTACATTTATTGATTTGCGTATGTTGAACCATCCTTGCATTCCTGGGATGAATCCAACTTGGTCATGGTGTATAATCTTTTTGATGATTTGCTGCATCCTATTTGCCAATATTTTATTGAGGATTTTTGCATCTGTGTTCATTAGGGAGATCGGTCTATAGTTCTCTCTTTTAGTTGGGTGTTTCTCAGGTTTTGGTACTAGAGTAATATTTGCTTCCAGGAATGACTTAGGAGGGATTGCTTCCCTTTCAATTTCATTGAATAGTTTGAGGAGTGTCGGTATTAGATCGTCTTTGTATTTCTTGTAGAATTCTGCAGTGAATCCATCTGGGCCTGGGCTCTTCTTGGTGGGTAAGGACTTAATTACATTTTCAATTTCATTAACAGAGATTGGGTTATTCAACAGTTTTACATCCTCTTGATCTTGCTTTGGTACTTCATATGTTTCTAAGAATCTGTCTATTTCTTCTGTGTTATCAAACTTTTGAGAGTAGAGATTTTCGAAGTAGGTGTTGATGATCTTCTGTATTTCTATTGGGTCTGTAGTGATTTCACCTTTTTCATTTCTTATTGCATGAATTTGAGCTTTTTCTTCCCTTTTTAAAATAAGGTTGGCTAGGGGCTTATCGATTTTATTTATTCTTTCAAAGAACCAACTCTTTGATTCGTTGATTCTTTGGATTGTTTTCTTAGTCTCTATTGTGTTGATTTCTGCTGTGATTTTTATAATTTCCTGTCTTCTTTTGGCTTTGGGCTTGACTTGCTCTTCTGTTTTCTAGATGTTTGAGGTGCAGCATCAAGTTATTTATTTGTATTTGTTCTGTTTTCCTAATGTGGGAACTCATTGCAAAAAATTTTCCTCTCAGGACGGCTTTCATTGCATCCCACAAATTCCGGTAAGTTGTATCTGCATTTTCATTTTCCTTTAGGTATTGTTTAATTTCTTCTTAATTTCTTCTGTGACCCACTGATTACTCAAGAGTGTGTTATTCAGTTTCCATGTGTTTGCGGAATTTTTGCAGTATCTTTTATCATTAATTTCTAATTTCAGAGCACTATGATCCGATACCATGCAAGGGATGATTTCAACTCTTTTGCATTTCTTTAAATATGTTCTGTGAGCTAATATATGGTCTATTTTAGAGAATTTCCCATGTACTGCTGAGAAGAATGTGTATTCTGATGTTGTTGGGTGGAAAATTCTGTATATGTCTATCAAACCCATTTGTTCACAGGTGTGATTCAGTTCTGTTATTTCTTTGCTCATTTTCTGTGTGGTTGATCTGTCCTTGGTGTGAATGGCATATTAAGGTCTCCTGTTACAATTGTGTTACTGATAATTTGAGTTTTCATTTCTGTTAATAGTTGTTTTATATAACTGGGTGCTCTGGAGTTTGGTTCGTATATATTTAAGATAGTTATCTCTTCCTCTTGGAGTTTTCCCCTTATGAGTATGTAGTGACCTTCTTTGTCCTTTATGGTCATTGTTGGTTTAAAGTTCACGTTGTCTGCAAACAGAATGGCTACTCCTGCCTTTTTTTGATTCCTGCTGCATGAAGTATTTTTTTCCATCCTTTGACTTTCAGTCTGTGAGTATTCTTCTGGGTTAGATGGGTTTCCTGTAAACAGCATATGGTTGGATTTTGTTTCTTGATCCATTCTGCTAGTCTGTTCCTTTTGATTGGTTCATTGAGACCATTTACATTAATGGTTATTACTGTTAAATGCTGGTTTATTGTTGGCATGTTATCTCTCTGCAGTTGCATCTTTATCTTTCAGTTCTGTTTAATTATTTGCTTTGCTTAGTGGTTTTTTCCTTTGTGTATCTAAACTGTCTCTCAATATTTTTTGCAGGGTTGGTTTGGCAGTCATGAAGTTCTTCAGCTGTTCTTTGTCATGGAAGTATGGTATTTCACCATCAATTTTGAATGATACTTTTGCAGGATATATCAGTATAGGTTGGAAATCATTTTGCTTTAGGATCTGGAATACTTCACTCCATGCTCTTCTTGACTTTATTGTTTGTGCTGAGAAATCTTCTGTGATTCTCATAGGTTTTCCTTTATAAATGATCTGTGTTTTCTCTCTGACAGCTTTTAATAATCTATTCTTGTGTTGGATTTCTGGGATGGTGATTATTATATGTCTGGGTGTAGTTTTATTTTGGTTATGACTATTTGGAGTTCTGTATGCTTCACTGATCCTGATGTCGGTTTCTGATCTCATGCTTGGGAAATTTTCAGCTATTACTTCTCTAAATATCCTCTTGACATCCTTTATGTTGTCTCCTTCTTTTTCATTAATCCCTATCATTCTTATGTTATTTTTCTTTGCATCGTCTTGCAGTTGTTGAATTGTTGTTTCCTGATTCCTTGTTATTTTTAAAAGATCTTTCCTTTCCTGTTCACTAGCTGCAATCCTGTCTTAAAGGTCTGAAATTCTATCTTCACTTTCATTAAGGCGGTTTTTACAACTTTCAGTGGAGTTTTTTATTTCCTGTATATTTCTGTGCATCTGCATTATGTATTCTGTTTGTTTCTTATATTGCTCATCTAGGGATTCTATCTTTTTGTTTAGTTCCTCAATTTTTTATCTGTGTTTTCTTTAGATATATTCAGAATCTCTTTCATTTCTTTTATCATTTCTTCTTTTATCTGGGAGATTATTTCGAGTTTGAATTTCTTTAAAGTTTCCTGGAGTTGCTTGTCAATTTCAGTAGCTATTGTGTCCAATATTTGAGGTGTATGGCATATATTTTCTTCTATATACATTGCTCCTAGGGTTTCTTGAGATGGGCTGGAGGTTTGAGGTTGTAATTTGGTCTTTCATTTTGTCATTTTCCTATATTTCTGTGTTTCAAGTGTTATTTGAAAGCTTCCTCAGGATCTGTGGGAAATCCCCTTCTATATTTGCAGCTACTTGAGACTCTGGCCCCACGCTACCCCAAGCCACTGGGCCTGCAGAACCAGTGGCCCTCCTCTGCCTGCTCAGAATTCCGCAGTTCCAGACAAGCTGGGCCTCAGGTTCACTGTGAGCCCACCTGCCCTTTGGAAGCTCCACAGCTCTCCAATCACAGCCGGGATGTGGATGCAGATGTAGACGCCTCAAACCCACCACTCCACTCACTGCACCTCGAAGCCTGGAGGCACCCAAACAGTCTGGGCTCTGGGCAGAGTGCGCTGTGTACTCACCACAGGCTGCAGGGCCTCCGGAACCCACGATGCTCCACTGCCCACCAAAACATCCACAGTCCTCCAGACACACAGGGAGGCCGATGCAGGCGCCCCAGAGCCGCCCAGCCCGTCCTCTGCACACCGATGGCTAGGTGCGGGAGGCCCAAACAGGCTGGGCTCCGGGGATAGTGTGGGCCTGCCCACCTGTTGGAAGCTCAGCAGTTCTCCAAGTGCAGCCGGGATGGGGAGGTGGATGTAGAGGCCTCAAACCCACTTCTCCACTTTACTGCACCCAGAAGCCTGGAGGGTCTGGAACAGTCTGGGATTTGGGCAGAGTGCGCTGAGCACTCACCACAGGCTGAGGTGCCTCAGGAACCTGCGATCCCTCCCTGCTTGCTGAGATATCCACAGTCCTCCAGACACAGGGGGAGGCTGATGCAGGCACCCCAGATCCGCCCAGCCCCTCCTCTGCACACCCTCCTTTTAACATTTATCAGAAAATAACAGTATTGTAGTCATTTCAGAGATTAATGGATCTCCCCTTCCAATTAATAAGTGAATTGTCGAGACTGTATTCCAATTTTGCTATTGAGGTGTCTGTCTTGTGAATGTTCACAAGCCAAGGAGAGTGCTGACCAAGGGAAGATGAAGGTACATAGTCGATGAGACACAACAAGAAAGTGAAGCCAAAATTCATGAAACAAGACATGTTACTCACAGGACCCAGAGAGTTCAGGAGTGATGATGGGAAGCGGACAAAAAGTTTGGAAGCAGCATCTACTAACTCATAGTAGATGGGGAGCAAGAGAAAGGGCAATGTGGAATTTTTCTGGCGGGACTTGGCCAAGCTACACGCTGCTGTGCTTAGGAGAGTGCTGCGGGAAACAGTGGCTCAGTCAAAGAGAGCTTGTGAAGTGGGAAACTTACATAACTCCAGTGCTAATTAGTAAGTCTGATCATGGCAGTTGTGGGTGTGTAGGCTGGAGGGCAGTGGGGTGAGGAGCAAAGGGATCATACTCCGAACAACTCCATGTGAAGGGAAGGCTTAATGAGGCCAAACAGGACAGGATAAGTGAGTTTCGAGTAAGTTATGGCAGGCCTAAAATTAACATTGTGGTAGCCACAAATTTATGAACAAGGACATCAAAAGACCATGAAAGTTCATCGTGAACATGATGAGGCTCTCTGGCAAGATTATAGCAAGCTTTCAAGCAAGTCCAAGTTGACTTAAGAGAACAAGCTTAAGTGATAGCTTTGGGTTTCTTGTGGTTAAGGAGTGGGACGAGGATAAAGTTCCACGAGCTCTTGCTTGCATCATTTGAACTTACACCAACACCGAAAGAAAAAAACTTACAGATCTTCTTCTAAGATGTGAGATTTAAAAGCTCCTGGGAAGCAAACATCAAAAACACAATCAGTTACTTTATCATCATGATATCCTGACATCTGAAGACTTAAAATTTGCCAACAATCATTTGATGGAATTTACAGTAAGTCAGTCACTATGGAACTCCATGTGACCTGAGTCCCCAGTCTGGTAGAGATGAAACTGTAGTGAAAATCTTGTTTCAAAGCCCAGTTTTATATTGTGAGAGGTTGAATAAATACTTTGTTCACTTATAAAAATGTCTGTAACTGAAGGGAGGCCTTGTATCATGCCTTTGGATTATATATGAGCATTCACATGTGTTATTGATTTATAATTGTGAATACCTATGAGACAGGAAATTTCCCAAATTTCCCAAAATTCTTTGTCCTGAAGGGACCAACATTGGATTAAGTTTTGAGGCTACCATTGGTCAGACCAACTGAGTGTATCATTGGGAATTGTACAGACTCCATTAAAATATTCACATGGAGCTAACTGTTGCCCCAAGCGTCTGCTATCTAAGATGTCTGCCTCAAGATGAGCCAATTGTTCTAATCCTCAAGTTGTATCCTTTCCAGAGATGTCCAGGTTGAGGGAATGAGAATCAGCAACTCTTCAGTGACTTTCAAGTGTGTGATAGAGGCATTATCATCTGTAGAACGTGTAAAGTCCCTTTGCTCTTCCTTTAGTTCATCCAGGTGACAAATGCAGTAGCCAAAGTGTCCAGGATAAAGGTGCCCTTCTCCAGTACAATGATATCTGGTAAGATACCAAGGGCAAGGGAGGGCACCCATCTCATTCATGTGCCATATGTTAACCAAGGTTTAACTCTCACTTTTAGGTCTTCCTCTAGTAATCCATAGAGAACATACAAAGCTTGCTAAGGTGTAATAGACAGCTGGGTATGGAAGTTCACAGGCTTACAGTTTGTAATAATCTCTTTCTCCAAAGAGGTTAGTATGTGTCCAATAGTTTTCACCCTAATGGCAGATAGTGTTAAGCCTAGCAGAACAGTGTCTTGCATCAGAAGCCATTATTAAAGTAAGTCACACAGCTTTCTATGTTGCCTGCCACTGAAGGCTGGTAAGGGTTGGGGACCACTTGTGGTCATCATGCCAATCCAGAAGCATGAGAGGAGGTGAATAAGGCTCTGGTTCTGAAAGAATGTCTGGTGGACACTGATAAGAGTGCCTTTATACTGCATCTTACAGATTCTAGAATTTTTTGGAGGGGGACTCCTTCGAAAGTGTTCATTTCAAAGTGACAGCATAAATTGGCTTAACCAAAACATATGAAGAATAATAAGTTGCCACTAACCTTTCTCCAACAGTATCAAGGATTTGGACTTATTTTCACATTGAGGTGTTAGGTGAATCTGACTTTTTTCTGATAATATCAGGGATGCAGTGGGAATACAGACTGGTACAACCACTATGCAAATCAATGTGGAGATTCCTTAAAACTAGGACTGCCGATTCCATGTGAACCAGCTCTTTCCCTTCATCCCAAAAGAATTAAAAACATCACAACACAGAAATATATGTGCACCTATGTTTATAGCCGCACAGCTTATAATGGAAACAACCTAAATGCCCATCGACTGAGGCATGGACAAAAAAGATATGGTATTTTTTATACAGTTGAGTACTACTCAGCCATAAAGAATGATAAACTGGATACTTTTATAGGTAAAAGAATGCAACATTAGAATCTACTCATTAGTGAAATATAAGACACACATGTAAATATCATACTGTTTCATTAGTGTGACAAGTTGAAAGAAAAAACATATATATGTGTATGTGTATGTATATGTATATAAAATAGTTAATATAGCTATACAATTGATTTCTCTGAGTTCACTGAAGAGAAAGATTTGTGCTGGTTTTGGTTGGACAATTGAATGCAGATGTCTTGTGCTCTGGGTCAATGATTTAGGATGACAATGGGCTAAGTATGTATCATCATTGTCCCCTGATTGACATGCTTTGAAATTTTTGTTGTTTTTTTCTTCTTCATCTATCGAGTTCTGACCTAGATCCCCAATCTCCCAAACAAGTATACAACGAAGGCTTAAACAAATGAGACAAGTGGTATGATTTTAGTACTCTAGGAGGATCAAAACCCTTTAGCTGAGTTCGAGACTCTGGGAGCTAAGACAAAGACTTCTCTGGATTTCCCTTTTTATTAGGTCTAAAGAAAGAGCGAGGGAACTGAAGAAAGTGTGCAAAATGAGCAGGGCCTTGGGAGACCCTTCAAAGACTTCTCCAAGTAGTAAATTATGCTAGTTTAGGACGTCTTAGCTCCATGAAGACATTTATAGTAGGAGTGAGAGTGCAGGTGTCAAATGCCTGCAGCTGAGTCTCTTATCTGCTTAATCATTGGCTGAGTCACTCTGAGGGGTGAGGAAACTCTGCTATAAACTGGGTCATTTTGGTAAGATCTGGTGTTTGAGCCAGGTGTCCTCAGCAGTTGCCTTGTCTTCCCTTTTGAGGTATCGCTGGCATTATAGGCTACTACGGGCCTTAGCCAGGACCAGTGATTCGTAGAGGTTCACTTACTAGGAATCAGCTCCCATCACCAGGCAAGGGGCCAGGGCCGAGGACAGACTCACAGATAAACATAAAAAGCCCGTTACATCATTTTAAGTCCTGCTCAGAGCTGCTTCATAGTGGTCTCCAACATTTTTCTTCTTTTCTTTCTTTTTATCCTTGAATAAAATGGATTTGAAAAAAAATCAAGGATGCAATAGCCTTCAGCCAACAGAAAAATGCCCAAATATTACTAAGGCTGTGAGGCTTGTTCTTGCTGTGGGGAAGTGCCCGTACCCTATCACATGTGCCTCAGAATTCTTCCTTATAATTCTTTGGGGAAAAAATAGGAGTAAGCTTGAAGAAAATTAAAGGTTTTAAAAATTTAGGCAATAAATGACTTATAAACCTTCTTTTCAAAATTTCAAACTCATTCTGATATAAAGTTAAACAATTTTCAGTGGCTTGGTTGTGCTTTTCAAAAGTCATATTGAAATTTATTTGCTAAAAATGATAAAAGAAGCTGATATCTAAAAGAAATCATTGGATCTTAAGATCGTAAGTCAAGCTGTTATTGTTTATTTTTTCTTTTTTTTCCTCTAAATTTTTTACCCACATTTTTCCTTTTTTACTAACCCTTTTTTACTTTATCTCCAAACATTTTTTTATCCCCCATCCTCAATTTTATATCTGCTCTTTTCTTTCCCCTTTTCAATATTGTATTTCTCCCTCTTCTGCCTCTCTCATTGGTTAATAATCACTGGCGGTTAATAATCACTGGCTGAGTCACTCTGAGAGGTGAGGAAACTCTGATATAAACTGGGTCAGGTTGGTTAGAAGACACAGCTCTACAGCTGAGCCAGCCAGAAGGAAAGATGGAACAAGATAAAGTTTCCACGGAAAAACCAAGCAAAGTAAGTCATGGTTTACTCTTGAAATGCTGTCTCATGTATGCTATCACTAGTTCACGTACTTTACTACCTGATGCCATGTTGTAGATAGTACAAGTGTGTGTGTGCGCCCTGCTTTCCTGGTAAATTGTAAGTAGCTGATGTTTAAGAAACAAGATCAAGGGTGTCAGCTGCATGAAGTGAGGGAGGGTGGAGGACGTTTCAGCACTGAGTGCTCTGCTGAGCAAACATCACCTTTCCCAGGGGAGAGGTGCAGGCTCAGAATTTGGCAGTGGAAGATGCAGATACTGGGCTGTTGGGATTCTGGACTCTACGCATAGCTTCCCTAACCACTGGGTTCTCTGTGGTAGTTTTTCCTAGACAGTGACTTATTTTGATTGTCCCGAGCCAGGAAAGTTTTCTCCTACTTCTCTTTCACTGCCAGGTTCAACATGATAATAGCTGCTGGCTGTGCATCTCAGCAGCTACACTGGTGGATCCAGGGAGGGATCTTTGCGTCACCATTTGGTACAATGAACAGCAAGGTGTATGCATATGTATCAAAGTGTGAACAGAATTAGCCCAATTCAGTACAATAGTGTAGGAAAATTCACTCTTGTGACTTTGGGAGGAGGGTGAAAGTGAGTCATCAGGTTACTTGGCTACTGATGATGACTTGGATGATGTTAGCCAAAGAAGTTAGCAAGATATGACAGATGGAGAAGTGCAGAATGAAGACCTTAATACAGATGAGGATGAAAACAGTAATGTAAATAAATATTCAGTCAAAATGGTCATGTGTACCTGAATGATCCAACATTAGAAGTAGTTCTGAGAATGTTACTAGATTCTTGCCAGGGGTGAAACCTATTGGATAGAAAGCCAATATCATAATTCACTGTTGGAAATTGTTTGTAATGAATGATATACTACAAGATGTTACACTAATATGAGCCAGACGTGATGGTACACGTCTGTAACCCCAGAACTCAGGAGGCTGAGGCAGGAAGATCCTGTAAGTTCAAGGTCAGCCTGTGCTACACAGTGAGTTCAAGGATAGCCTGGGCTCCATAGTGAGGCCCTGTCCTCAAACAAACAAACAAAGAAACAAAAAGACTCACAGTGAATCTTTGCAAATGAAGCCAGAAATGATCACATTTTACAAGATGAAAGGCAGAGTAGGTGCTGATGAGTTCTGTGGCAATTATGAAGTTATTCAAGGCATGAAGTATTGGCCAGTGGTTATGCTTTACTCAATCCTAAACATGTCAGGCATAATTAGTTTCATAGTTTACAAAGAAAATGACAAGCACAAAATACTATGGAGAAATTTTATTAAATGATTGAGGCTGGGATTGATACAAGAGGAAGAACAGTATGTATCTGCTCAGAGAACTCTGCAAAAAAATTCTAGAGTAGACCAGAGAACAAACAGGTGGACCATCACAAGACCCTGCTAAGAAAAAGGTAGACCAGCAAGATGCTAAGTAGTCAAACCAAAGAAGACAGGAAAGCCAAACACATATGTGATCAGGGTAAGTGATTCTTGTGTGTAAACACACTGTTCTCATGTGAGAAAACTGCATTAGGTGGCCTAATTGAAGTAAAGAGTATTTTTGTAGTAGAGTTTTATTCAGTTCACACAGGAATGTATTTATGCTATTATTGTTTAGATCCAGTTGATATTGAAAATGTGACGCTTATTCTAAACATCACTCATTACAGATTAAAAATTTAATACATTATTGATATTTTCCTGTTAAGTATACATTGCTTAAAAATCATAAAATTAACATTGATAATTCATCAGTAGAAATACTTATAAAGAACAGACATGGTAGTTGTACATCCACCATAATGTGCCTTTCAAAAAATTTCCTGTGATGCCCTGGGGGTTGAGGCTCTTATCTTTGTAAGAAACAAGTGACACAAGATTTTTAATTTATGGGCTTCTCTTTTAAATAAGTAAAGCACCTTAAATTCAATAGATAATATGATTTAAATGTGAAATTCAGGGAGTTATCTAAGAACTGAGAAACTGTGATCTTGTCCTTTTCAGATGGAATTTGAAACATAAAAAGGATTTATAGGGGCAAAATTAATATTAACAGCTTGAATGTTTTGCAAGATTCATGTAGCAAATGGCCGACTCAGAACAATTTAAGAAATGTATTGGACTTTTCCTCTGGATTTAAATTTTCTAATTATTTCTCACTATCTGTGGCGCTCAATTTATAGATCTAAACCACATTGGATGCTTTTTATACTCAAATAGCATCCCATTTCTTTTGTATATGTCTTCTGCATTTCAAAGAATATCAGCAAATTCAGTAGGCAGTGATCTAGTCCAGCATCACTAACACTCCAGTTTTAGATACTAATTTTCAATGAAATTAAAGATTTCATTTATTTTACAGATGGGTGTTGGGAAGGGGTTAAAGAAGGCTAGTAAATAAGTTGCTTTCAATTTTATAGTTAGTGCTATCATTATTACTTCAGCTTCTTAGATAGATTGTAGAGATAAGAATATGTATTTGAGGAAGCCTATAAAGTGCAAAGCTACGCTAATTATAAATTCTTAATAATCATTAGTACTACTAGTTTTCATTAGGAGACATCCATATATTCTTCTGCCTTATATAAATCTCTTAAAAATTTGGCTTCACTTCCAATGGAATGTGAATATCTCTCTATGTGTGCATGCATGTATTTTAAATGACTTAATCACTCAATATGTATGAAACAAATTGTGTACTTGCAAATAAATCTTATGAGTGCATGAGATGGGTAAAAAAAGAAATCAGATCAAAGTGTAAAAAAAGAAGTAATATTATTTAAACAAATAACTTAGTCAGTCCTTCTGTAAACTACTATACAAGCTTGTACAAAAATTGAATCATTCTTCAAATATAAGCACTTATTAATGTAGAAGAATCAGCACATAAATATCAAAGTGTGAGTTGTATAGATTTAAAAATAAAAATGTGATGAATGAATAAAGGTTGCAAGATACAGAAATTAAGTATGAATGTAGGATAAAATGTTCCTCATATTTTATTAGGATGAAATTTGCAAAAGAAGTAAAATTAATACAACTGCTTGTCTTATTTACAAAATAACTGTCACCATGTCTTATATTATTTGCATAACTCATCTTCTGTTTTAAATAAATGAGTTATGTTAGAAATTACAGTACTGAAACTACATTCATAAAACTGAACCAAGCTCCATAAATCAGCTGGTCAATAAAAAAAATCATTGTGACATTTAGAGTACAGACAAATCCTTTAAGCACACCAATTGGATAAAAGTTCTTCAAACAAAAAATATGTCTCCCATTGCAACTGTTTACATTATTCATATATATAATATTCATAGAAATGCCACCCATAATAACATTTTATCTTATTCATATATGTATCATACATGTCATAATTTTCAGTAAATATAATAGATTATCTGTGCTTCAGAATGGTGAAAGTGGAACCAGTCAGTAAAGCAGATGTGAATTTAACTAGGTCTCATCTGATTTTAATCTGATTTTAATTTTATTTTAATAAAAGCTCACTTCATCATTTGATTTTTAAATATATCTAGGTTATCACATGCCGGGCAGCCATTGCCTGGACAGCAAATGCCCCACTGTCCATTGAGGAAGTTGAAGTTGATCCACCAAAGCCTGGAGAAGTTCGAATTAAGGTAAATATAAGTGAGACTTTTAGTAGGCATCTCTGCACACATGTGTGTCTAGAATGATTTTATGATTTTAGGATGAATGGCATTTGATAATTAGAATTCCTATTATTTACACCAGGTTTATAATGCCATACATAAGGTTTGATCATTGTATTTTATAAAATGTCACAAATAGAACATGTAGAAACAATGAAATGTTAATAAATATTTTAAATACACTGTGGTTTTCAAAAATTTGAAAATCAACACAGGCTATTGTTGACCCATGACCCTCTTTTTTCAATAGTTAAAATGTTATTTAGATGTGTGGTTAGGTAGCCGTTCTGGTGTGATTTTTTAGTGGCCAATGTAATGGAACAGGGAGGTGACCAGGCCATGTGGCCACCACCTTCATGAACTGATTAAATTGTTATCGTAGGAGTACATTAGTGACCCTGGGACTGGGATCCTAAAGAGATTTAAATTTAGCATCTGCTCTTCTGTGTGCATAAATGCTACCACAGGGCAGGGAAGTCCCTGCCAGACGCCAGATGTCCTGTTCCTGAACTTCCGTAGTTTATACATTACCCAGTCTGCAGTATTTTGTTTTGGAAGAAGAAGCTGCACTGAGAGAATAACCCAGCAGACTGCTCTCAGTGGGAACAGCAGGAAGACTGAGCTCCCAACCCGCCCAACTCCCGGGAGTCTCTGCTGCAGACACAGCAGATCTACCCCATAATAACAGGTCTCACTAGTAGGGAAGACGCTCTCACCATGCAGGGCAGGATGAGAAGAGCTCTGTCTTCACCAGCGGCTACAGGAGAATACCACTGACTAGGTGGTTTAAAACAAATTCATTTTCACAATTCAGGAGGGTGGAAGAGTTGCCAGCATTGCTAGGCTTTGGTAAACGCTTTCTTCCTGGCTCACAGATGACAGGCTAACTGGCCATTTGAACTGAAAACCACTTACAAGTTGGAAGAAAGAAAAAAAATTGCACTATGGCAGAGTCTTCAAGGAAAAACTCTGAACTACTGAAAAACTTCATGAAAAACTCATGAACTACTGTGCTAGGATCAGGACGTGCAAGTTACCATGAAAAGCCTCGTGTTTCAGTCTCTCTGCGTGGCGGGTAGACGGTAATGCAGGGGAAGAAGCATCGGAGTGCTCTCTCCCAGGAGCTCCTTCCACTTGAGTGCGTGTATTGAAATAGACCCCAGGGTTTGGGCGGTCTGCTTTCCCACATCCACTGATCACATAACTTTTAGGCAAGGAGCCAGAAAACAAGTCCCTGATGTTTATGAGGTCTAAGGAAAATTATAAAGACAAAGACGTATTTACTAAGTGCTTGGATTCTTTTTCTCAAACAGCTGTATGACAGGAACACAATTGATAGAACCTCAAATGAAAAACCCAAGGTTTAAAAGAGTATATTCTGCCTCTAGATTTTGCAGCATTGTATTTTTCTGAAACATGCAATAATTTTGTAACAAAGTATTTTATATCCAGTCATTCTTTTTACTTTTTAGATTGTGTCCTCTGGGCTCTGTGGTACTGATAAACACATCTTGGAAGGGAAAGACAAAGTGCCATTCCCTGCAATTTTGGGCCACGAGGGAGCTGGCATTGTAGAGAGTATTGGAGAAGGCGTAACCACTGTCCAGCCAGGTAAGGAGATGAGGAAGACACAGTGCTGGGTGCTCTTGCTAATCCACTCTCTCATTTTCTCCAAAGGTGTAATAGAGTTAGAAGAAACCATTCAATTTTGACATAAACATTAAAATTCACTTGCATACCAGGTTTAGTGCAAAATATAGGCAGCCTAAGGTTCAGAATTTTCCAAATTTGTGTTTGGCTTGAAAGGACTCAAAGAAAAAGAAGAATTTTTCTATAAAGATTGCAAGTCTACTTATCAAAAAGTTGAACTAAGAATTGAATATATATATGCAATTATACTGTTAAAATATGTATGAGAGATTTTTTTTCTGCACACACACATGCATCTGCACACAGATACTCGGAAGGATCTTTTAAAGTGATTGGAGCAGATGTCATTTATAACAATTTTCTCCAGAATTTGTGTTCACCATGTTTATACTTGAAATAATTTATGACGTATTACTCTAACAGATGTATTATATATATTTTATGCCCACGTTAAGCATCAGGAAAGAGAAGCTTGGAAAAAATTATTTTTTTCAGTTGATTTAGCCACTGAGTGGCAGAGCGGGAATTAAGGAGCTGCCATGTCTAAATTCCTGTCCAGTAATCAACAATTTCAAAATGAGTTTTAATTTTAGTGTTAACACTAGAATATTAATTCACTATTTCCACAAATATTAAGTATATACTAAGTATAAACTGCCTCTCTCCTAGGATAATTATGCCTTAGGATGCTGATTAGGATGCTAATTATGCCTTATATCACAGACATTGATTAACACTCTTGACTTAACTTACTTTATCTTTGAATTTGTTTTACTTCCAAAGTAAATCTCAAAATTCTCATATCTTTCATTCATTTGTATTACAATTGATTTGTTTTCATTTCAAAGGGAAGTATTAATTAACTTCAAAACTAATGACAATTTTCATTAAAACACATTCATAATATCTACTGCAATTTCCTATGAGTAAACGTGTTTTTAACCTTGTTCTGTGACTCCATCCAAGCTGTTCACTGCTTTTTTGTTCTCTCTCCTCAGGAGATAAAGTCTTACTATTTCCTCTTCCTGAATGTGGAGAATGTAGATACTGCTTGCACCCCAAGGGGAACATGTGTGTTAAGGAGAAGTGAGTTCTGATTTGTTGGCTTCTCACCCGTGCACTTTTCAGTGTACCAGGCACTGACTTTGAGCTAAAAGTCTTCTTTGTCACTCTGTGTGTCTGTGCAACAGTGTCCTCTCACCAACTGGATTAATGCTGGATGGAACCAGCAGGTTTACGTGCAGGGGAAGGAAGATTTACCATCTTTATGGCACAAGCACATTCAGCGAATACACTGTAGTCCATGAAATCGCAGTGGGGAAAATCGATGCTGCTGCCCCTTTGGATAAGGTCTGCATCATGAGCTGTGCAGTGCCTACAGGCTTTGGAGCCGTGTTTAACACTGCCAGGGTGAGCATATACTTTGGAATTTTGCTCCGTTACTCTAACTACACAGTGTCAAGTCCAGAGCCATGCAACCAGAGAGCTCTTTCCTACACTGTCAAAGCCAAATTTAGAATTTATTCTCTGAACTTTCAGGTCACCCCAGGTTCCACCTGTGTGATTTTTGGACTCGGAGGAATCGGCTCAGCAGTTGTCATGGGCTGCAAAGCCTCTGGTGCCTCCAGGATCATTGGGGTTGACATCGTTGAAGACAAGTTTCCCCGGGCGAGAGCACTCGGAGTCACTGACTGTCTCAACCCACGGAACCTCAAGGGACCTGTCCAGGAGGTGGTGGTGGAAATGACAGGTGGCGGCGCTGACTTTGCCTTTGAAGCTGTTGGACTCACTGATACCATGGTGTGTGACCTTGGGTATGAATACTCACACATCAGCTTTGTAAAGACATGAAGTTAATTTAATCTTGTTTTCTGTTTTGTTTCATTTGGGGAAGTTGAGGGGTTTTCTTTTATGCTGGGAATTAAACTCAGGATCTGGCACATGTAAGCACACATTTTACCACTGAGTTACACCTGTTTTTGATAAAATGACTGTCATTCATTTTAGTCTGAGCACATCTTATGTGTCTCACGGTGTGCTAATGCATTTTCATATTTTATTCCACTTAATATGTGTAGTGCTAGTTAAGTTATAATAGTATCTGTATCTTAAGTATTAAAAATCATAATCACATTGAATTTAAGCAGTTCATTCAGGATCTCACTGCAAGCGTACTGCATACTTTTCAATTCTATGGTGTTTCTACCATATTGTTATCCTGACAATATGTTTTAGAACTGTGGCTATGATGGTGTCAGGCTGAGAAGCTAATGTTTTGCTTGTGGAATTAGGTTGCAGCTTTTGAATCATGCCACGTGAGCTACGGGGTGTGTGTGATTATTGGAGTAGCGCCCTCCGACTCAAAACTCTCCTTTGACCCCCTGATGCTCCTACCGGGGAGGACTCTGAAGGGGGGCACCTTGGGAGGTAGGTCCTGCTGCTCTCTTTTTCTTTTCTCAGAATCTCAGACACCCTGGCTGCTCCTTGGTAAGAAATGATGAGGAGGGAAGGCAGGAAAAATAATACTCAGTGAAAGGAAATAAATATCTATCAAAAACAGAAAAGCATGTACTTACCTCCCAACATAGATATTCATTGCCCATAGCAGCAAAAGAACTTATGAGTTTAATGTTCTTGATAAGCTGTCAGGGAGTCACATTTTATGATGCTTATTGCACTCTGATTTTCCCTAATTCATGAAGAGCCATGGTGTGTCTCTGGATGACTCCCTGGTACAAAAGAAGACTAGAAAAAAGTCTCACGGTATTGATCCGTAAGTCTTCTAAAGGGAATTTTAAAAATGATAGATCGACACTGTATTTAAGGATGGGAACAGAAAGTTCAGCCCATTCTTTAACTAGAGAATGGTAAAGCTCAGCGAGCCTTGACATCCTCCATGCAGCTGCAACTTGTCAGAGAGACACAACTCACCCAGAAAGTACATTTTGTGTGCTGGTTTATCCACAACAGTCTCATCTTACCTATCATTCTAATTTGCTCTGTAAGAATAAGATGGACAACGCTATACTGAATGTCACGCGTGTCTATGTGTTTGGGGCTTGGTTATCATGGTGGAGCCGTGAGGCCTTTGGAGAGAAGCTTGGCTTTCTGGGGCCATGCTTCAGCAGGGACTGTGTTGGGACCCAGGTCTGGTTTTCCACTGACTTTGCCTTCTGGGCCATAATATAAGCGGTTTTCTCCCCCAAATGCTTCCACAGCAATATGTTGCCTTTAGAAGCCCTAATCACCACAGTCTCAGATTGGAACCTCCAAATACACTAGTCAAAATAAACCTTTTGCTGGGCATGGTGGTGCATGCCTGTAATCCTAGCACTTGGGAGGCTGAGGCAGGAGGATCGTGGGGAGTCTGAGATCAACCTGGGCTACAAAGTGAGCTCAAGGCCAACCTGAACTGCATATTGAGACTGTATCTCAAAAAAATTAAAAATTAAAAAAGAAACAAAAAACACTTTTTCTATTTATTAAGCAACATAAAATATTTGCAGTTAGGACTCTGATAAAGAGGACCACTTGTCATTTTAAAGACCTCCAACTTTTCTTTTATGCCCAATCTTAATTAGCATTTTGTTTATGGCCCTAAACAAAACATTAAATATCTGTAAAGAACTTTGTTGGGGATATAAAGATTTAGGCTCAACTTTACCACTTTCTAAGGTGTGCATTGGTGCCTTAAAATATAAATAGAGTTCACTTTAACCAAGGCTAAAAGAGGACAAATAGATATACAACTGTTTTTAAAGAACATTTGCCTACAGGTCCCAAGAGCAGGGGGCATTTTTACCCATGCAAGTCCATACAGTGGTGCACCCAGGTCCATGAGGAGGCATAAAGAAGTGGAAATTAGGAGACAGAGCTTTATTATGGCATTTATAGGAAAGGAACAGTTGACAATGGCTTGAGTGGTTTTCGAGGGTGACCCCTGGCTATCTGTTAAGTGGCTTTGAGCTGATTTAGGGGTAAGGATAGTGTCTCCACTGCCTGATAACAGGGGCACGGGGGAAAGTGGCAATATGGTTTTGATCTTGGTTGGTTTGTGAATCAAAAGTGTGTCCCTAGACAAGTTCTCTGATGTCTCCAAGAATTTGTTAACCTTGGGAGATAGTGTCTCTCTGGTCCCCAGGAACCTGTAATGCAAAAGTGTTATAAAATATAGAAATTAGAAAACATGATTAATATAATCAGAGAAAAATATTTGTATTCTCTAAATTTAAGTCTTCTCAAAGTTATTAAAACAGGAAAGATAACTCATATGTGCCCTAATCCTGGTGATTAAATAGTAGGTAGGACCCAAGACCTAGGCATGGTGCCTCACTGCACTGCTTTTCGAGGTACATCTGCAGAGCAGATTTATCTCTGGGATTGAAATGTGAGGCTTTAGTGGAGGGAGGCCGATGTGCATGGAGGCTTTAGTGGAGGGAGACAGGTAACTCAGGCCCATCAGCTGGAAGGTAAGCTGTCACAGGGTGTGGCAGGGCCTGCAGGGAAGAGGAGATATGGGGCGATGCACTGTGACCAGAACAGCATGGGTCTGCTCCACAGTCCACAGGGCTCCCCTGGCTAGGGCTTTTCTAGGACATCTGGGCCACCCTACTAACTGAGCAGTTACTGGATTGTCCTACGGAGTAAATAACCTCGTGTTTTATGCTTAGGAAAAGGATCCAAAGTAAGCAACTATCTGCTAACAATGCTTTTATCAACCTTTTACATTAATAGTTCATTGGATTTTTGGTAGTTTTGGTCAGTTTTGGTAGTTTTTATGTCATTATCTTTTCTTTTCCTTCTGCAGAGTATAAAACAAGATCCCGTATTCCTAAACTGGTAACAGATTATATGCAAAGAAAATTTAACACAGACTCACTTATAACCCATCAGTTTCCTTTTGAAAAAATTAACAAGGCATTTGAACTGTTCCGCAGTGAACACTGGTAAGTACTGTGTGTGAGTCATGCATATGTATGTGTGTGAGATGCACCAGCATGAGGTATCTCATATGTTCCACTTTGTCCAAAATTGTTTGAAAAATTTACTATTTGATATTTCAGACATTTCTATTCAGAAAACAGTCACTAAACTATCTATCAAGATCTTGTGCTAGACCCACAGAGAAAATGGAACTAAGTTTTCAGGCAGTTGGTGATCTGGAGGGCAAGACACCGTATATAGTACATAAACAACTGAGGTATAGAGCTGAATATTATTCCTGGTCAGAGCATCCACGACTCAAGGATTAGGGCACAAAGACTTAGTTTCTTACTAAACAAAATGAGGCAAGTACTCAGAAAGTCACCACTGGGATGAGTCTGGGGACTTGTAGACCCGTAACATGAAGATTCTGGGTATAGATACTGGGACTAGTTATAAGAACCAGGTGCAGCATGCAGGAGTCTGGGAGGCTAGGAGACACCCCACTGCCCTGGCTTGGTGCCCTCACTTCAGGAGGAATGCAGCAGGTGATGGGAGACCGACTCAAAACCAGAGATCACTCTGCCTGAAATCAGGAACTCAAAAAAAAAATAAATAAATAAAATAAAAGAAAGAAAGAAAGTAAAGTGAATCAGAGGTTTAATTATAATATTGCAAAAGCTGGGACTGCCGAAGAGCAAGTGAGCCAAATTGATCTTCTCAGCCTGGTGTCTTTGACTTGTTCATACTTATGATGGTAAGCTGATTCCTAAAACTAAATGCTTTGATGATTGGCATAATCTAGGCCAATCAGGGGGTTGGCTTTTGTTTCTGGGGAGAGCTAGAGTTTGTAGGCTCTAGGGGCACATAGCACATGTATGCACAGGTCCCACAGAGGGCAACCTCGCTAAGTGCATCATGCAGTGTAAGGACTGGTCATCTTTTCCCTGTCAGTCACCCCGGTCATGCCCGGTACTGCCTACTGCCCTCTTCTATCCCCACAGGAGAAAGACTGAAATGTGTACATACTAAAAAGCAAACAGTACAGTTGGCAAGGGATACATTATGTTTGTGTAGTCAATGTAAAGGTCTTGGCTGCAAAAATATTTTTCATGTAAATAAGTAAAAGTGCAAGAACTTCTGCTTCCAAAGAGAACTAAATTCTCTATCTTGCCTTTCTTAAGCCCAACTATACGATATTGCTCTGAAATCCTACCTTAAAATGATGGATATAAATAGTGATAGCTTAGGTTGAAATTTATAATGTCTATTGAGCAGACTGACTGAAATTAAGTCAGCAGTAAAGGATCTGAAAAGCACAAATGTTGGTTTATTTGGTGCTGAAGCCGTTGCTGGCTGTCATACCGACTCTACTGTTACATATATGGAGATCAGAGAAAATGAGAGCAGTACAGGGCCTATGACAAGGTGACCAAGTAGGCTGATAGAATTTTGAATCTGATTCCCCTTTAAAGAAATCTTAAGCTAAAGATTCTACTGCCATATCCAGTTGCTAATCACATAATTACATTCTATCGGTCTCTGCTAGTAAGAAAGTATCTATCACTAGCTGTAGAAAAACAACAGACTATTCTTAACTTGCCAACAGTCAATTAGAAGGACATCTTCATAGGAAAAGATAAGCATGTCAAAAATTTGGAAAAACTGGGGGATATGAGACTAAGTAAATATTACTTACATACACAATAATGTCTGAGAAAAACTGAAATTCAAGAGACATAGATTTTCATGCATACGCAATTTAGCATTCACAAAGATATCTAAAAACTAAAGTTACCACAACTGTGGGAATAAATGAAAAGATGCATGTACTTTTTTGAGAAATTGGGATAGTCATTGTTGACGTGGAGAACATGATTTTATTAATAAGGTGGCCACTTCGACAGAGTAAACACATAAGAACATACAAGCTGCTACTTCTGCCCTTCACATGAACTGTGACTAACACTGCGGTCACCGGTGAGCCCTTGCCACTGATTTTAAGCAGTTATCCTCACCACTCTGAAACCTAATCCAGAGCTTCCCCTTAGAGCAAGGCAGTTTACCAGCTCGCTCAGCTCAAGCCTCTCGCGGTTTACATTGCCAACGTGAGTTCCCAGACAACCTTCTCCTCTTTAATTTGTTAGAATTGCTTTGAGTATGAGGTACTGCTGAGAAACATTAGACTTAATTAACATTCTTTTAAACACTGGCAGTGTCTGTGTGGTAACAGGGCAAACCAGTACTCGGACCTCCATGAACTTTTCTGAGGAAAGAAAACACAGACCAGGCCTCTGAAGCCATATAGAAACTCCTGGGCTACAAAAGCATGAATAGGCCAGAGTCCCACAAAAGGAAAGCACTCATAGAACCCTCTGTGCTTATGACCTGGAGAACATAGGTTTTTATAGGTTCTGAATAGATACAAGCTCTGGGGTTACATGGTATCATTTTCATTTATGGAAAAGCTTGAGCCCCATGGCCTTGAGTTCCTGGTGCTGGGCTGGGGCTCCTGCTTCCCCTCCTCCCATCCCACCCTCCCCAGCCCTCCCACCCATTAGAGACAAGGAGTGAGCTGAGCCCAGCTCCCAGTGGCTGACCTGAGGCTACTCACCACTGGTCATATTCAGTTTCTGTGACAATGGCTGCCAATGCCCAGAAGAATAAACCCTTGATGGATGGGTTTCCAAGAAATCAAGACGACCTGCAAGGTTGGAACAAGGCCATGGATGGAAAGCAGATATATCTTTTGTTGTTTTTTGAGTGTAATACTGAGATCTGTATTGAACTGTATCGAGAGGGGAAAGTAGTGGTAGAGGTGATGACAACAGAGAAAGCTTGCGAAAGAGGATTCAGACTTAGCTTCAGGCGACGAAGCCAGTCATGGACTCATCTGAAGAAATGGGGAAAGTCAAGTAACAGATGCATCCAGTTCTGCTAAAGCGTTTGATGAAGTTATGAAGATGTTTGATAAGAAGGCCAACTCTGAACCTGAAAGCATCCTCAAAATCATGCTTGAATAACGCTTTGATAGCTGCTATCCAACCTCTTTTTAAGTCAGTTTTAATGTTTCAAAAGTACTTCTCAATTAATGGCTAGAAAATACTCAGTATGACATTAAATTTTTTATTTTATTTTTTTGGTCACAGGAATAGACAGTGAATTCAGATAGATGGTGAATTCATCTTAGTTATTATGGTGTGCATAAAACAAAGGTATCAATTAGTTCTTTATTTTTATTTAAAAGACTATCCCTTTTATAGTTAGTGCTTCTGTGAGCAAAGTTTTTTAGATACACATTATATCCCTGTAGAAGTTACAACGTGACAGGTGGGCCTGGTGCCTTCACAGGTAATCCCAGTACTTGGGAGGTCAAGGCAGGAGGGTTGCTGCAAGTTCAAGGCCAATTCTGGCTACATAGTGAGTTCAAGTCCAGCCTAACCTGTATAGTGAGATTGTTTAAAAAAAAAAAAACAAAAATGTAATTAAAATATGTGAGGATTAGGCATTCCAACTACCTTTTCTTACAGGTTTCAAATTGTAACTTGTTCGGTGAATTTTAAAGGAACTTTCGTGTAGTCAGTTCTTACGTAATGTGTTTGGTAGACAAACTCCGAAAATGAGGGACTGCTAGTAGTGTTTTAATATTTTCATTAAATAACTGACTATTTCCTATAGAAAGATAAAACGTAGGGCACTGCAGCTTGTGCACAGTTGTATGACAGATCGTAGTCTTTGCTTGCAAGATTTGGGTTGGGGTCATGAGGGATTCAGAGCCTGACCAAACCGTCAGCTTTGTTATGATGTAATTAGAGGGGGGTACGGGTCACAGCTGATGACTCGGTTCCTTTTGCTCTGTTACTCAGTGTTATTCATGATTAAACTGATCAACGCACTTCGTAGAAGTGGAACCCTGAAAGGAATGTGTTAGATTTATGCTGAAATGATTCAGTTCTCGCGTTGGTAACAATTCAGGTTATTGTTTTGTTTCCTAGGGTTGGGGTAAAATTACAAAAGGCAATCTAGTGGTTACAATTCCAATTTGTATTTTGCTTTCTGGAATAAGTTTTTCATAGTTATTTGTTTAAGAAGATTTGAAAATCTTTGTATTTTCATCAAAAATAATAAATGCATTTTATAATATTCAAAAAAGAAAAGAAACTTGAGACCTGAAGAAGCATAAGCTGCTTTCCAAGATCACACAGCTGCCAGCTGAGCAGATGCTCCCAGATGCTCACTGCTCCGTCCTGTGTGTGCATCTTTCATGATATTTTCACATTCCATCATTTTACCTCTGGCGCTCAGTCTCATGAAGCCTCTTTTAGTCCTTCCCATCCTGCCCTTGGGAGGAAGGAGGCATCTATGACCCTGAACCTTCACACCCAACATCCCTCATGCTGAGCCAGCCCAGCCATGCCCACCCAGGCAGACTCCATGGCTCTTTACTCCTACACACCCTCCAGCACCCGGCATAGTGAGCTCTTCAAGCGCCTTGTACGCATGCCACCCATACTTTCCCCATGCTAACATGTAAGACGCTATATTGTAATCACCTGATTAGTTATTTGAAAGGCAAATTCTTTTTTTTTATTTAAAGAGAAAAAAGAAAGGACATTAAAAAAACAAAGCAGCAAAAGGGTACAAATAATACAGTATTTCAAGAAAGAATATACAGTAAGAAATCACCAGTTAATAGGTTACATATTATCTTCCTAGAAACAGTTATCCAAATTACAAAATTAAAGCATATAGAGTGCACATTCATACAGTGAAACTGGAGGCAGTTCCATTCAATGATCCAGCAAAAGCTCAGTAATATGGTTTTCCATCCTACACACTCGAACGTACCTGCAGTTATATCCCTTAGTCCACCTTGAAAGGTGAATTCTTGAATGTCACATTTTAAATTATAAATCTAGCAGCAAGTACAATGCCTCAAACATGGAAGCTGCTCAATAAAAAAATTTTGTTTAAATAAATCAGTAAATAAGAACATTAATTAATGAACAAAATTCCCTAATGCAAATGCTTTAGAACAGTGGGTTTAGAATACTGTTCATATCTCAGAAGCTTTCTAGTTTTCAGTGTATGTTATTCTTCCTGGTAGAGAGCAGTCTGAAAGCTGTTAACAGTAAGGGCATAGTGCCATGGGACATGGGGAATGAAAGGAGTTCAGTTTGAGATGGAAAACAGTGATTGCTTTTATGCAGCACTTAGAAACCAGAGAGGGAGGACCTGTAGGAAGCTCCTTCTCTCACTAGACTAAAAAGCAGGCAGCTGGAGTGATCAGAAGTCAGAGGGAAATGAACCTATGACTGTCCAAGACAGGTAACAGGTCATGGATCCTCCTGCCTTAGTTTCTTTGCTAATCATAATTGCCAGGGACCCACTGGATCTGATCCCAGAGACATTTTCTGATGTCTGTGGGGTGAGGAAGGGTTGACGGATAAGAAGTAAACATGGGTGGACAAGTCTGTCCCTTAAAGCACATGTTCTGTAATTATTTTGTATGATGTGTATTTGACAGGAAAGTTGGTGGCTTCAATACTTGTGTTTTTTGTTTTTCAGCATCCGATGTGTCCTCTTATTTTGAGAGTCAGATAATGAAGATTGAAAACTGACTATCTCCAAGAGTGATCTTTGTTCTTCTTTATCATCTGGGTAACTTAGTTACAATACATAAAGGCCAGGATTAGAAAGAGAGGACTCCTAGAATTTTGAGAAATGAAGCTATTAAATAAAATTAACTATTTTGAACACATACATACATTTTGACCTAAATTTTGAAGAGAAGCAACAAGATTTGGTTGAAGAGCCAATAATGACCTTGCATCTACACCAAAGATCTCTCTCTCTCTCTCTTTTTTTTTTTGGTGGTGGTGGTGATAGTAATACTGGGGACTGAATTCAAGTGTTTTCTCAATGAGCTACCTTCCTGGCTTTTGAAATTTTTCATTTCAAGGCAGGTTCTTAGCTGCCAGACCAGGCTCAAACTTAGAATCCTGTTTCTTCAGCCTCCTGAGTGCTGGGATTACAGGGCTACACCTCCATGTTTGTCACAATCTCACTTTAGATTTTTAAAATTTATTTTTGAAAGGTCTCAATTCAGCTTATATTTTTAAAAAACATCGTATGGAATGCTTCTCCACCCTGTGTATGTGAGTTGAGTCATTTCAGAAATAACTTCCTCGACAGGCTCCCTTCTTAAGTACAAGCAAAACATGAAAAGGCCTGGGCTAACCTTTCTTGGTTGGAATGGAAGAAGAGCAAATGCTGACTCACTCACGCATTTTGCAAACAATATCACATCTTTTCTGTTTCCACTTAACATACTGATCCATCTTCTGTAGGCCTGCAGCCTTAGAGTGGACCTGAGTCAATTCCTTTCTGTGTTCCACTTTTGTAGTTTATAAGTAGTTTAATGCCACATTGATTATTGATGGCATTTGTCACACACTGGCTGGTATCTTGGTGTGCTGATTCTCCAGATATGAACATGGATGATGCAAGAGCAACTAGTCGGGATTGAGGGAATCGTTGCTTGGATCCTTAGCCAAATGCAGAAGACAAGAATAATAAAAAGATAAGTCTTTGGCTCTACTTCGGCCTGAAAACTACATTAAGTGCTTATGATACATGAGCTACATTACAACTATAAACATTCTCAGTGTATACACCAAAAGTTCTCTTAAATGCATTTTTGTGCTCCTATAAATGTCTGCTTTCTAGTCAAAGAACTAGAAGGAAAGAAGCTTACAAGACAGAAATCTCTTAGGTGGTACCTGTTCTCTTCTCATCAAAAGAAACAGAAAAAAAAGCTGTAATTCCACTCGTTCCCATGTTAGTGAACTCGAGTGGAGGATTTAAACATCTGCATTATCAGGTTATAAAAAAAGCATTCACTCTCACCCCTCCATAATGCTACTGGATAGGTCAAGCCGTGAACTTGGAATTTCATCCTCACCAGGTGATACTGAGTATTTCCCCATATCACTAATGGAGACTCTGAAATCCCATGCTGACCCAGAATTAGCAAGATGCCACCTCCCCCACAGCGCTAGATGACCTCAGAGCAGACTTGCAGGACCGTCAGGACTTTGACTGAAACCTAGCAATGGTGGCACCACTCCAACTCAAAACCTGAGTCCCATCCTCATGTCAGCAGAGTCCCTGTGACAAGCAGGCAAAGTTGGGAACCTGAAAGTCGGCCAACTTGACAGGAATGGAGCAGCTCCTCCTTTCCCTGCCACAACTGGGCGGGTTTACAGAGAGACTAGGACACAGGAGATTTCTTGGGGTCAGAACAAATTGTAAGCCCTGACCTCAACTCTGTCATTCAAAGGAGTCCAAATTGAATTAGAACAGTCTGTGGAACAAGTCTGCTCCACAGCAGTATTTAAGACATTGGAGCAATCAGTTAGCAATCAAGGGAGCCCCTTACTGCATGTAGGATAAGAGTTATCCAGACTCACCCATAACCACTGCCCTTCCTTCCTGGGTTCCTTCTAAAGTCTGCATCTTCTGTGGGGAAATAGGGCCTCCACATGGTGGGGCTGAAAGAAGGGAGGAATGGCTATGGATTAAAAATAAACTGAAAATGCCAGCCACTGCCAAAGAGGCAGGACAGCTAGAATATTTCTGATTTGAATGCAAAATGATTCAGCCACTTTTAAAAGCAGTTAGGTGGTTTCTTATAAAACTAAATTTGCACTTGTTATAGAACAGAAATGCTTCCTGGTAGTTTTTAACTAAGAGAAATAAATACAGACAGGTACATGAGTGTTTGTAGCAGTTTTATTACACATAAAAACAAGAAGAAACCCTCACTAGCTGGCAAATAGGTGAGCAAATTCAGATACATTCATATAAAGGAATATTACTGAATAATAAAAAGAAAAAAAACTATTGATGTGTGCAACAAATTACGACTCAGTTGCACTGTGTTAAGGAAAAAAAAATCAGACTTAAAACTACAGTTATGTGATTCCAGTTACGTCATACAGCAGTAGCTCAGCTTGCAAGCTTAACTTAATCTGTTTCCATGATTCTGCTCACAACAAATTGGGTTAGAATAGAATCAAATTTCACCTTAAAGTCAACACTGAACCTAACCTTTCAGTTTTTGACCAATTTGGTTTGTGACCAGAATTGCGGAAAGAATTAATTAAGTTCTTGAACTGAGGCATCACTGTGTTAGAAAAAACTGTAAAATTATAAAGACGAATCAGATATGTTGTTACAGCTAAGGGTAAAAGGTCAGGATGAAATAAGAACTAATTGAAACATTTAAGGTATTTGTTGTGATGATGTTTAAGGGCTGCATAAATCTGTCAAAATGCACAATATCGTAGACCTAAAGAGTGACCTATATCCAAATTAAATGGTTCCTCAATAAGCAAATAAAAATCTTAAGATCTGACTCATTAGTCAAAGTATAAGCATTAAATGAAAGTTCTCATGAAATGTTATTCTCATAACCAAAATGGACATCTCTTTATGACCATTGGCTACAATATTTTCCAATGTATTTGAGGATAAGTGACATTAAAGCAGCAAAGGCAGCATTAAATTCATATTGGAGACCTTGAAGAACACACAGATGCCCCACAAAATAAAAATAAAGTGTCATTCGGAAACCAAGATTAAGAAACACCCACAGTATAATGAAAAAGGAAAGCTATGAAAATATGACGAAGGCAAGAAAGACACAGAACACTGACAAGATGGAATTGACCTTAGGAATGTAGCACTGCTCTGTTAGGGAAAAAGGAGAACAAGAGACAAAGACACAAGCGCAACAGGTCAGGTTTATTTCAAAACAACCCTGAGAGGGCTAGTCGTGCACTTGGACCAGACGGTTCCTCTCACACACGTTGCAAGGTCTGAACCGGGGTCATGAGGAGGAGAGCTCAGGGAAAGGGGGTGTCCTGCCAAGGACAAGGCTTGAGAGCAGACAGGAGGCAGTGGCTGCCCAAGGATGATGCCTGGGAAAGCACAGGGCACAGTGGTTGCTGTCAGTAGCAGGGCTGAGTCACTGGATGCATCTGTGCTGAGGGCGTGGCTTACAGTGGTCTCTGTCTGCCTCGGCTGGCAGCAATAGGGCTCCTTCAGTTCCCGGGGAAGAGAAAAAGACCAGTCAAAACATGAAGAATTAATCTGCACATACAGATTAAGAAAAAAATTGTATGTATGGGGAGCCCAGCCAAGAGTCCCAATTGTCTATCTTAAGAGTGTGTTGAGAAGAATAACAGACAAGGATAGTATTGCATCAATTGCTGGGAAGTCAATGTCTCTGGATCGGCCCTCTCCACTCCCAAAGCAGGCACTATTTATCAGGTGTATAGGTGATAGGTGGGGCTACCAAAGGATTACAATTTGGCAGACTCAAGAGGGTGTAAATGGTCATATGCTAAGAAGGATCTTGTCTTGGAGTATAATCCTTGGATGACTCAGGAGGGCATAGGTGACTGTACACTCTGAAGAGTCAATGGGAAATCTCAAATAGGAGGTTTTGATAACCCCAAGTCTCCAGTTTATCATCTCTGAGGGCCGCATGCAAAATTAGCCATTGTGAGTTAGTGGTCCCCAGGATATGTACAGCCCAAAGCTTACCATTCTCCAGGAAAATTCCGGGTACTAATTTTCTAAAGCACATTGTGTAGCTTGGAGTAATTATTCTTTCAAGGATAAAAGGGGGAAACCCTGAAAGTTTCCATTTGACTTTTAAAATATATTGAATTTAGTTCAGGTTCCTTGTAGCTATAGGATCATGATAAGGCAAATATCATCCTCAAACTATAATATCCACATGCTTACAAATTCAATAAAGTAATGTATCTCAACATCCCTCATTTTGAACTTGCTTAACATCCTGCTTCAAAACACCATAATATCCAGCACATGGTATAGTAGCTATTAATATCTTTTCTGACAATCCATCCTCTCTCATGGATACCCTGCCTCTTCCAAAGAGGAGGAACAGAGGGATAGAAACCAGTGGGACCAAAGCAAGCCAGAAACCCATCCAGGACAATGTGAAATCCTGTGTCTTCTTTCTGAGCACTGATGGCAAGTCGTGCTAGCAGATGGCTCTTTCCTACCACTTTGCCAGTGGGTGTAGCTCTTATGGTTTCTCCCCGCTCTTACTGAGACTTGTGACCTTAATTTATTTTGATTATGTTGCTTTCATAGGCATGAAGTGGAATCTCACTGTGATTTATTTTACATTTCCTTAGTGGCTGAGCCACTAAGCATGTGATCCTGTTTGCAAGGGAGGGGCAGAGGGAGGCTTCCTGTTCCAGCACGGTGGCATTTCTCTCTGTTGTCTGTTGTCAGTACCAGTGTCTACTGAGATGATGCCCACTGGGCAATGGCCATTGAGATGAGAGATGAAATGTCCTCTCCAGTCACTGGACTTCCTTGTTCCTTAAGTCTGCACCAGTGGCGTTTGCTCAGAGCACTCTGTGCTTGTGTCCATGCCACGTGCACATCAGCACTCCTTGTCCTGAGCAGCTGCTGCATTTCAGTGAAGTTCACCTTTAACAGTGTGTCTGCTCTGAGTTCCGCTTTCATGAGCCGAGGTCTGCTGCATTCTGCTCTACTTTGTGTATGATGTTTTAGATTCTTTGTTTTCATTCCATCTCAATATGTGTTAAAATGTTTCTAAAAATTTACCATCCTTTTGTCTTGTTTCTAGTATGGAGGATCATTCACAGTATTAGTATTTTCTTATAGCACTAAAAATGCAAGACTTGGCTAATGTGTTTGAGTATAAAAGCATCATTAGTGTTTTCGAATGATAACCACAGGCGAGTGACAAGTTATAATCAGGCAATGAAAAGAAGGGTAGGAAATTTAGTTCGGATGGTGTTGTTATTATCTAGATCATGACATAGCTGACATAGGTTTGCAGGAAAATTAAAGCAAAACAGGACAGAACCACTGCATAACAGAAAGGATCGGATTCTGAGTCTTTGTGGCAGGTGAGAGCTTAAAAGGATATGAAAATGCTCTCAGTGATTTTCACCCATAAGTCTAGAAGGATGGCAGTATCATAAGAAATAGATGTTAATACTCCAATCTGACAGTAATTAATAGAAAAATATTAAGCATTATTGAAAATTCAAGGCTGTCTTCCTACAGGTGAAGGAAGTCAGGATACAGGTGCTCACCTTTGCCCTCAGTGGCTCCCTGACTGACGGGGCTTATGAAGGGTGAGCATGTGAGAAGCCTAGTTAAGAGAAGCTTAATTAAATCATCTCAGCAATTCCCCATGCTAGGGTGTGGAAGACCCGCCCTCGGGTGGCTCCACACCGGGGTGGTGTAAAGGGGAAATGGGGAAGAATGGATCAGCTTCTGTTTCTCTGGAGGAGCTCCAGTCTTTGCCTTGGGCACCAGCTCCTGGCTTCCAGCACTGATTCTTCAGCTTCTGGCATGGATTCTTCCCTCCTGATACAGACACATGTTGGACACCGCCCTGAGCTCCAGACCTTGGACTGAATCCTTCGGGCTTCAGTGTGCACATGTCCTCTGCATGACTCCTCATCTGACTCTGGTGGCCACTGTAAAGCCAACCTGATAAATTCTTACACATTTGCACATCTTGTTATATCTGTTTCTCTAGTGAAATACTGGCTAATCCAGGGCTCAGTAGTGTTAGACTGCTTCTCTGGTGCTTTTCTTCATAACTATGGATGGTGGCTACAGTTCTGGACACCATGCAAGGGTTTAAGGTAAAGAGAATGCTGCTTGCTTCCTGTGTCTTTAGATCAGGTAAACAGAAACTTTCCCAGAGGCACCCTGCCCCTGCCCCTGCACCTGAAATAGACATCTGCATGTCGCCATGGCAAAAGGAAACGCTGAGAGTGTTTAACTTCATCCACTGCTACAGCAAAAGGATAAAAGGAGAAAGAGAAGTTGGACATCAGCACAAACAGTGTCTGAGTCAGGTCCTGAGCTTTCCCTGCAGAGCAGGCTTAGAGACAAGCTAGTCAACAAGGGAAGCAAAGTCTTCACCAGTCTAACTGGAAGGGCAGCAGGCTTTGTGGAGTTTGGGCTTGCAGCCCATCCTAGCTGCTCCCAAGTGAGTGCCTGATTTTCTTACCTACGCAACAGGTTCACACAGCAATCATCTCTGGACCTTCCTCCTTTCACTGATAACACGAATTCCAGTGCTGACAACTGGTACAAGGGCAGGGGCCAGGGAGGGGACCCTACTCTCACAAAACCAAGCATCCCTAGGGCTTGCAGGGAGACAAGTGACATTCACAAAATGCCCAGAGTCTTTGAGTAAGGACAGCTGCTGACTCTTCAGCACAAAGAAGGAAGGTGAGGATGCCCAGGTTGACACACTTGATACCTCCCTGTCGTGTCCCACCTGCAGATAGAGATGAGAAACAGCTGTTCCTGCTCACAGGGGGAAGGAGGAAGAGGAAACAGGCAGAGAGAGAGAGAGAGAGAGAGAGAGAGAGAGAGAGAGAGAGAGAGAGAGAGAGACAGAGAGAGAGACAGAGAGAGAGACAGAGAGAGAGACAGAGAGAGAGACAGAGATGGGGAGAGAAAGAGAGAGACAGACAGAGAGAGAGAGAAACAGAGAAACAGAAATAGAGAGAGACAGAGACAGAGAGAGAGCAGAGACAGAGAGAGACAGAGATAGATGGGGAGAGAGAGAGAGACAGAGAGAGAGAGAGAGAGAGAGAGAGACAGACAGACAGACAGACAGACACAGACAGACAGAGAGAGTATGTGTATACACACATGTGCAGTCCTGGGGACTGAACCCAGAACATGCACTTTGAGCAGTTCCCCACCTTTTTTAAGTTTTTGCTTTGATCAGGGTCTTTCGAAGCTCCCCAGGTATAAATGGGACTTGCAGTCCTACTCCTCAGTCTCTGAGAGAGCTAGAATTACAGACTTGAGCTTGGGATGGGGCAGGATTCTTGACCCCATCACACTCTGCTGCCTGCTAAAGTGTCCCAAGAGGTGCCAGGTAGATGTTCTCTCTTACAGTTGACTGCAGACTCCAGAGAACCAGACTTTAAGTTAGGGAGTAGGATAGACCTCGCTAACATCCCAAGAACAGATGACTCCCTGCTGAGCCGGCAAAGCCACCTAGAAAGGGGCCCATCCAGCTCCACACAGTGAAGAGCTGGTGTCCAGACCACAGTGCTCAGCGTTACAGTGCAGATCTTCCAGGGCCTTCTGCATGCCAAGTGACAGAAAGACCCCTGTTCCTCTGAAACAGCCTCAGCTGTGGCCCACGAGGGCCTGGGTGCAGGCCACGATGGCCATAGAAGACACCCACAGAAGAGGCTAGGGGGGCCACATCCATCCATCTGTCCTTCTCCTCCTAATCCTCTTTTTCTTACCCCAGTCCTGGTTATCAACTTTGGTCTCCAGCCAGTGGTAAGAGGGGCTGAACTTCAGGCTGGGGCGTTTGTGGTGCTCTGGGGTGGTGGCCATGCCAATTCATGAGCAGCCACCTGGGCACACAGCCCAGCAGGACCAGCCACACTCACCGGGTCATGGTGTGAATACCTGTGAGCGGTGGCACATGTGGAGCAGAGAGGCTGAGATGACAGTGGAGAGAGGGATGAAGACATAGTGAAGAACGAGTGGTGTGACCATTGAGTGTCCAGGATTGTTCTGTTGAGGAGCAGCAGAAAGACAGCGAGGGACAGCAGCACTGAGGTGTCCAGTGTGACCCTGCTGCAGCCGGACAGCAGGCAGAAGATGCGCTTGGTGAGGAGGGAGCTGAGCAGGCACTGGGTGCTGAGGTCGATGACACTGGTGATGAAGCAGAGGTGAGGTGGGGGTAGGTCTCACACATCAGGGGAACCTCTTGCTGCTTTCCAGTGGGTAGTGCTGATGGTGGCCACTGGGCCCCCTCCCAGCAGTCCTTCAGGTCCACTGGGCCCATTTGGGCCTTATAGTAGGTCCAGGAGCACAACTTCATCTGCAGCTCTTTTGGCTGAAGGAAAGAAGGTGACAGCTTGAGACGGATGGAGGCACCCAGCACATGGGGCCTCTGGAGAAGAGGCGGCCTTGGTTGTGTTGGTCACCCTCCACTCCCCATCTACACAGGGGAGAGGAGTCAGGCTGGGGGT